GTGGGGGGAAGGACGATCACAGGAAAGGCTACCTCTGCCTTAGCTGTCCTGGGTTCAAAGAGCCTTCCCCCCTGGTCCTTCCCTCCAGAAAGCTGTGGGGGAAATAGTAGGGAAAGCGTTCTGGATGTCGAGAGAGAAGTCCTGGTCCACTCGCCCTCATCTTCCATCCCACTCCCCCTGTAACTGTAAAAAGGGGGGTGAGAGCCTTCCTCATGGAGCAGGGAGCCACTCTTGGGCAGAATGCTGTCTGGTTCTCTTTTGCAACGTTCCAGCAGCCAGGATGTGAGCATAGTTACTGCTCAACTAATTTTGAAGACTCAGTGCATGAACGCCAGTGACTAGCAGCAGCTTTAGGAAATCATTTTCTCTCCCCAAACTTCACTTGTCTCAACTGAAAAATACTGAGTCATTTCTAGCTTTTAAAGTTACTATGCAGTAAATATATAAAAATCACTTCACACATTATAAATATAATCCAAGAACATAAGAACTAATTATTATTATTACAAAGAATGGATATCTATGATTTCAATTTCAGATTCCTAGACAAGGAATATGGCTTGAGTTTAAAATGTTGGAAAGGTAGCATATATACTGGAGTACTTAGGAGGAAGTGTATTGATGTCTGTGCTGACTTTGAAATGTACTAATTCTAAGATGATTAATAGACAGATAGAAGGACAGAGAGGTAGAAAGATGTCATGAAGCAACAAGATAAAAACATTAACGATAGAATCTGAGTGGTGGGTACATAGACATATACTCTAAAATCCTTACAATTTTCGGTATGTTTGAAAATGTTCATAATGAAACATCAGATGAAAAAACTTATAAGCAAAAATAAACTTCTGCCAAATCAAACTGGAAGCTGCCCAAGTGTTCCTTTCATGGAGTTATACAGACTCCATACCATTTCATCAATTAAAGCGCTGACTTGACTCATCTTTTAACAAAAATTCATTGAGCTCCTTCTGTGCATGCCACCTAAACATTGGAGCTAGAGAACAAAGTTCTGCTTAGTAAGAACCCCAGGCATATGAATAAATATTTACAATGTAATGGGGAAAGTGCTTCAGTCTGGGAATTCACAAGAGACTAAGAATAGAGAGGCACTGTCCGAGTGACTGCAACGGGGTTGGGGGGAGACTTGATAATATGGGTGAATGTTGAAATATAATGCTGCTCCTGTGAAACCTTCATAAGATTGTATATCAGTGGTACCTTAATTTTAAAAATAAATGAATAAAAAGAAAAGGAAAAAAAAGAGGCACTGTGGAAAAATCAGGAAAGGCTTCATATTTAAGCAGAGTTGTGGAGGATGAATAGTTTCCCTGACAGAAACTAGGAGAAGAATGTTTCAAGAACAGATCACAGTGTGGCAAAGCACAGAGAATGCAAAGCATGGCCTGGCCTGAGCACAGAGTGCACATGTCCATGCAGGAGAGGGTGCGCCAGCTGGGGTAAAAAGACCTGGCCCCGAGTGCCGGGTAGGTGGCCAGAAGGGAAACCTGGCCCACTGGTCAATCGACCACATTAATGAAGCACCTCCTGCACACAGAACTCTAAATGGAAAACAAAAGGCTACCTTTCCCATGTAGGAGCTACATCCAGGCTGCCTAGCTGAAAGCCCAGAACCCTGAAATGTGGCAGGAAGAAGCAGATGAGCTTTGGGAGTGAGGTGTGATAAAGATGAGCTGTGGTGACACATTCCAGAAGGAGACTTCCCAGCTGCCCAGCATACACCCTCCCTCACCTGGACTACAGACAGCTAGCTGTTCAAGACATGTTGTGCTCTGCCACCCATGGCTTCCTCTGAGCCTGGCCCAGGAGGAGAGGCTGAAGCACAGGGTCACAGTCAAAGCCATTCTTTCTGGTCCCCGCCCTGCCTCTGTTTGGCAATGGGACTTGAAGCCATTTCCATCACCTCTCCTAGCCTTACTTACTCATGACTGAGATGAGGAAGGCAGCAGAGACAGTCACCCTTTGCCTTTGTACATCACTGATGCAGTCTGTGGATTTTCTACACTTTTTCATCCATAGGCACATTGGATCATGACCAGCTGCCTAGAGCCAAAGGAAGGGATTTACAACAGCATGTCAGCACTGAGGGGCTGTGAAGATCCAGTGAGATCACCTCCAGCCTTCCTGTCTCCATTCATTTTTGTTTGTTCTTTTATTGATACTGCTGCTTTATTATTTTTTTTTGTCTTTTTTTTAAAACTTCTACAGTTGAATGATTGCTTCTTTGGGTTTCAATCATTCTTGCTTAATATTAAAAGCATGAAAGCTATGGGTTTTGCTCTAATGGGTGTTTTGACAATATTACATAGGTTTGTAAGTTCAAACTTGATTTTCTCTTAGACCCCAAACCTATTTATTTATTTTTATTTTGGTATCATTAATATACAATTACATTAGCAACATTGTGGTTACTAGATTCCCCCCATTATCAAGTCCCCTCCACATACCCCATTACAACTACTTGTCTTCTCTGTGCTATACTGCCTTCCCCATGCGGCACCCCCTACATTATATGTGCTAACTGTAATGCCCCTTATTCCCCTTATCCCTCCCTTCCCACCCACCCGCCCCCCAGTCCCTTTCCCTTTGGTAACTGTTAGTCCATTCTTGGGTTCTGTGAACCTGCTGCTGTTTTGTTCCTTCAGGTTTTGCTTTGTTCTTATTCTCCACAGATGAATGAAATAATTTAGTACTTGTATTTCACTGAGCATAATACCCTCTAGCTCCATCCATGTTGTTGCAAATGGTATGATTTATTTTCTTCTTATGGCTGAATAATATTCCATTGTATATATGTACCACATCTTCTTTATCCATTCATCTACTGATGGACACTTAGGTTGCTTCATTTCTTGGCTATTGTAAATAGTGCTGCGATAAACATAAGAGTTCATATGTCTTTTTGAAACTGGGCTCCTACATTCTTAGAGTAAATTCCTAGGAGTGGAATTCCTGGGTCAAACAGTATTTTTATTTTTAGTTTTTTGAGGTACCTCCTTACTGCTTTCCTCAGTGGTTGAACTAATTTACATTCCCACCAGCACTGTAGGAGGGTTCCCCTTTCTCCGCATCCTCTCCAGCATTTGTTGTTCCTATTGTTTTCTACGTTGGCCATCCTAACTTGTGTGAGGTGATAACTCATAGTGGTTTTAATTCGCATTTCCCTGATAATTAGCATTGGAGCATCTTTTCATGTGCCTGTTAGCCATCTGAATTTCTTCTTTGGAGAATTGTCTGTTTATATCCTCTGCCCATTTTTTAATAGGGTTATTTGCTTTTTGGGTGTTGAGGCATGTGAGGTCTTCATATATTTTGGATGTTGACCCTTTGTCAGATATGTCATTTATAAATATACTCTCCCATACTGTAGGATGCCTTTTTGTTCTGCTGATTGTGTCCTTTGCTGTACAGAAGCTTTTTAGCATGATGTAATCCCATTTGTTCATTTTTTGTTTCCCTTGCCCAAGGAGATGTGCTCAGGAAAAAGTTGCTCATGTTTATATTTAAGAGATTTTTGCCTATGTTTTCTTCTAAGAGTTTTATGGTTTCATGACTTACATTCAGGTCTTTGATCCATTTTGAGTTTACTTTTGTGTATGGGGATAGACAATATTCCAGTTTCATTCTCTTGCATGTAGCTGTTAGAACTCAAACCTATTTAGAAGAATGCTTTCTAATTTCCAAGTACTTGGTTTTGGGAGTTATCCTTTTTTTGTTAATATTTTATTATGCTTTGTTTAGAAAAAGCGACCTAAACTTTTCTATGTAGACTGTCTTAATTTAGACATTTTTAAATGACATCTTCTTAGAGGATCAACCTTTATACATTTCCATGAGTATCTAAAAATAATGTGGAGTAATACACCTACTCAAATCCTCCAAATTATTAAGGATAAACTATTATTTATCCTTATCTGTCAAATTCTCAGACAGGTCTATTAAAAATTCCCATTATGATTGAGGGAATTTGTCACTATTATGTTGGGTGTGCAAAGATTTAGATCCTTCTTCATGGATTTTATTGTTTATCATGATTAAATACTCATCTTTGTCCTGTAATATTTTCATCTTGAATTCCACTTGCTTGGTATTTGTATTTCCAGTTTTTGTTTTGGTTACATTTATCTGCTGTATCATAGCCAGATACATTCTTACATATTATTTTCCATTTCTTGAGCTTTCCATGCTAATCCATTTTTCATTTTGATTATAGTATATCCCCCAGTAACATTTTCAGAAAAGTACATTTGATATACATCCCAAATCCTTGTGCATTGCTATTTCCCTTGTACATGAATGATAGTTTGACTACATAGAGAACTCTACAATTTCAAGTCTTTTTCTTGAGAATTCTGTATTAAGTGTTTTTCTACTATTCATGTTTCAGAAGAAAAGGTCAAAACATGTCTCGTCTTTTTTTAATATTATGGGTTGTCTTTTTAGGTGTGATACTTGCAACATTTTAAGTTTTCCTTTGAAACTCAGAAATTTCACCACAGTGGATTGAATGTATACACTAACCTGTCTCTTTCTTGAAATCCCACTAAACCAAGAGTAAAGGTATCAAAATTTAAAAGCATATACTCACAAGGACAAAAAGAATAGAAGCAGCAGGACAAGAAAATAATTTGGAAGTTGCAAAGCAGACAGAAGAATGGCAGTTAACACAGTGGACCCAAGAAAGCTAAACGCTAAGCCCACGGAAGAGAAGGTGAAGAATTCCCTCACTCCTCAAGACTGAGTTGCTGGGGGCGCCAGGCACCTCTGGGAGTGGGAGTGACGGTGGGACTGAAAACAAGGATGGTGACTGAAAGTCTGTGTGATATCGCTCGCCTTCCCTTCCCACTCTCTGCGGCCAGACAAGTGCCCTTCATGAATAAAGATTGGAGAAATTACAGGGAATTACATGGAAGTTCAATCACTAGGTATTGAAACCTCCAGGATCTTCTCTTAGAGCTCAGCAGCCAGGCTTACATCCCTCAGAAGCACTTTCTCTGGTAAAAGCCCAAAGACAGGGACCGATATCGCTGCCGTTGGTCCTTTGTCTCCATCAGCCAGGTGTTGGGGTAGCGGCCCACACCCACGGGGTTCTGCACCAGGGAGGGGAGGCAGTGGCGTTAGCAGGCAGGCTCCTCCCCCACCCCAGGCTCCTCCCTACCCTCTGGGCTGTGTCCTCCAGAAAGGTCTGTGGAAGTCCTAGGCCGGGGTGGGGCGGGGATGGAGACAGCCAGACAACCGAGGCAGAGACTGGAGTGGTGCAGTTACAAGCCAAGGAACTCCAAGGCTGGCCAGTCGCCGCCAGAAGCTAGGAAGAGGCCGGGAGGAGTTCTCCCTGCAGGTTTCAGATGGAACACAGACCTACCAACACCTGGATTTCACACTGTGGCCTCCAGAACTGTGAGAGGACACACTTCTGTTGTTTTAGACCTCCTAGTTTGTGGTACTTTGTTGGCAGTCCTGGGGACTGAGGACCATCCTACCCGTAAACCTGGTCGTAGATCTAAGAGGCACCAAGAGAGGTCAGAGAGGCAATGCAACATGCCCAGGGTGACCAGGGAGGGCAGGAGGTCAGCAGGACAGGAATTCCACTGTCTCCAGGGAAGCTGTGACAGGGGTGGGCTGGCAGATGTTAGGAACCAGACACAAGGCCAGCGTGAAGCCAAACTTGCCCCCAACGAGGGGAAGTCCTGTCTCGTCGGGGGCAGGCTCCCAGGCCAAGGTGTGCGAGCAGACGCCTGGGGGCAGGGTGGGCTCACCCTCTGGATCCCAGACCTCACAGAAGCCCCCCTTCCCACGTTGGAGTGACTGGCTCCATAGAAGCAGCATAGTCATCTGGCTCTTATCTAAACATCTTATTTGGGACCCTTGGCAGGAGGTGCAGGCTGGAGGTGAGAGCAGGAAGAATGCGGAGGATTGACTAGCTGGCCCTTGTGAGAATAGGGCCGGGCAGCAGGGTGCAGGCACACGGGGGGCCAAGCCATCACTCTGAGAGTGAGGAGGTGGGGTGAATGGGAGAGAACTCAGGTGGGGGGCTGCAGGATGAGGCAGTGCAGACATAATGGGAAGGTAGATAAGTTACAAATAAGATGTTCCCAGGGAAACCAGGAGAGACCTTAAAAATCTTCAGCTGCTCAAAACTAAGCAAAACTTCCCTGTATTATTGGAATACAGGGGCTCCATGGGAGGTGTATGTTGTCCAGGGGTATGGGGGTAGGGAGCTCCTCGGGTGCTGGACATGTGCTCTTCAATGCTCTGGTGGGTGGTTGCATGAGCAATTCCATTTTGTGACAATTCATGGAGCTGTTCACTTGGAATTCATGCACCTTCTGTGTGATCATCAGAACCCAATAAAAGGTACACTTAAAAACTGAAGGGCAGGGATAAGAAACAGAATTAGGTTGATGTCCAATGCCATTTGTGTAAATTAGGGAGGCATGCAAAAAAACACAAGAATACTAACAAGTTAAAGGTTACATCACACATATGTGGATGGCTGCGTCTAGGGAGAGCAAAGCAAGGAGAAAGGAGGGCCTTGCTTTTCCAGAGATGAGAAATGGGCCAACTCCACCAGCCCTCCCTGAGGCCACGAGACAAAGAGAATAGAGGGAACATGCCCCTGGGAAAATAAGAAAGTGGGATGGCTCTGGGGTAATGTCACTGAGTGCAGTAGTTCTTAAAGTGTGGTCCCTGGAACAGCATCGATATCACCGAGGAACTTGTTAGAAATGCAAATTCCCAGGCCCCACTCCAGGCTACTGCATCAGATGCTCTGAAGTGATGCCCAGCAATCTGTGTTTTTTAACAAGCCCTCCAAGATGATGTAATACCCACTCAAGTTTGGAAACCAATGCCTTGGAGAAATGAGACAGTGGGAATGCGTGTTAGTCCCTTGGGGACAAAAGAGATGGGCTCTGGCTCACTCAGAGCATCAGTTCCCAGGGGTAAGGAGGGTGTGGGGTCACCTATAGAGTCAGGAGAGGGTTCCCTGCCCATCACCATGTACCCCCCACCCCAGACTCACTCACCCAGCTTCCCAAAATTATCTGGTAGGCCTTTATGCCTGTCTGCTTGGAAGACAGCAGGAATGGTGGCTGGTTAACTTGCTTGCATTTCTGCTCTGGAGGAAGCCACATACCTGGACCAGATGTGGCCTAGGGGTAAGGAATGAAAGCTAGACAGGCCTGGTTGTGGTTGGCCTGGGGCCAGGGCAGGTAAGGGCTCCTGGGTGCTGACCTCACCCACTTGGCAACCCTAGGCCTTGTGGGTGGAGGGTACCTTCACCTCCCAACTCACCGGGAGCCCATCCTCCCAGGGTGAAGGAGCCCTGCAGTGCCCTCATGACCTGTGCCATTCACTCTAATCCCCACCCATCAGCCTGACACCTCTTTCCAGGTTCCCATGGGCTCTGGCAGGGTCCATAGAGACCCCAGCCTGGGGAGCAGAAGCCACACAGACTTGGAGCTAGATGAGCTGGGTTCTGTTCCAGTTCCCTCTCGCCCTAGCTGGGGGAGCAGAGACAAATCACTTCCTATCTCTGGGCCTCAGTTACCTTTTGTGAAATGCAAATGATAATCCGTTCCTTATGGGACTGGAAGATGCCTGGCCCAGCACAGGCAGTTGGCAAATGTTGGCTCCCTCCGGACTCTACTCCCTCCCAAGCCCTCAGCGGTCCTCCCTGGGGGTAGATCTTGCTTGCAGGGGCTCAGCTAAAGTCTGGGGCCTATCCAGACCTCTGGTTGCTGCGCTCCCCAAGAGGAGTCCATGCTTCCTTGGGTGGAGCAGTTGTGCAGTCCCTCTGTTGGGGTAGACCCCCTATCCACATTCTACCCTGCTCCAGTTTCCCCCCGGGGCCTCTCTCCAGGGGCAGGAGGGGCAGGTGAACACTTCCCAGTGACCAGGCACCATGCTATTAGCACTCATACTTAATATCATTTATGTACTGATTTAAGCCACCTAGTTTTGCTCATAGGACAAGTAAACCAAGGCTCAGAGAGTGAGAGGGACTTACCCAAAGTGACTGGTAAGTGCTAAGTGCAAGACCAGGATTGAAAACCAGGTGCAGCTGATGCCCAAGGCTGGGCTTTCCCCCTGAAACAGCCACCCCCACCTGGGTCCCACCCTGCAGGACAGCCACCTTCTGAGAGAAGGCAGACAGGCCATGGAGGGGACGGGTGGGGAACACTGACTTGTTTTCGGGGACACTGGCTAAGGGTGGCCCAGTAAATCCTCTCTGTAGAAGTTTCCGAGTTTCGGGAAGCTTTTGAAAAAACCCCACGCTTCTTATTATGACGTGAGTTAAGTTCTTCCATGAAGCTCTTAAAACTCATCAGTTCCTTGGGCTTTTTTTTCTGAGAAATAGAAAGAAAAAAAGGTATCTGTTATGCCAGGAAAATCAAGTACTCCCTTTCTGGAACCTCAGCAGCAGAGAAAAGCACGTGGCCAGACAGTGTGGTATCACCCTCCACCCTGCTTCCCGATGTCCACCCCCTACCTGCAAGGCCAGGGCTTCCAAGGCTCTCCCAAGCTGGGCCAGAGGCGATGCAGCCCCCAGCCAGGGGTGGCGTCAGTCTGACAGCACCTCTCACTTCCCTACAGCCCAACTGGCCTTTACCCCTTCTTTCCTTCCTTCCTTCACTCATCTCCTGGATGTTTTCTGAGTCAAGCAGTGTTCTCAACAGGAGCAAAAGTCCAAATATTTAAAAACCAGTGTGACAAGGGAACATAGAGGATTTTGAGGGCAGTGAAATGAAATGACCCTGTATGATGCTATAATGGTGGACACACATTGTCATACATTTGTCCAAACCCATAGAATGTATAATACCAAGGGTAAGCCCTTGTGTAAACTAGGTGATTATGATTATTGGGCCCTCAACTGTACCAAACATCACACTCTGGGGTAGGATGTTGACAGTGGAAAGCTGTGCACACAAAGTGGACGAGGCATATGGGGACTGTGCACTTTTTGCTCAATTTTGCCGTGAACCTACAACTGCTCTAAAAAATAAAGTCTATTATTTTTTAGATAATAAAAAATATTGCTCTGTGGCCTGGGCACTGACAGTCAGAATGGGTATTGGCTGTAGGGCCTAAGGAGGCCCTGAAGGCCCCTGTGGTGCTGGGCAGGACCCCTGTAGTAGCTAGTCCTGGGCGGTCTGGGAGGCCCTGAGGCAGGCCGGTCAGAGGACTCATTTAGTGGCTACTTACCAACTGGTCCAAAAGCTTCTCAACATTTCACCACCACCACCTGCTTCCTTGCACTCCAGATGTAGTTTTCTGTAGTGCTTACCCCCTGCTAACACTCTGTATTGTTTTGTACTCACGACTGTTTTATTTCCACTGGAATATAAGTGCCATGAGGGCAGGTGTCCCCTGCAACTAGACTATGACCTGGCCTTAAAGGCACACACTGAGTGAATGCATAGCAGAGACAAAATATACAAGTAACTAGACAGATACTTCATTCCACTTGCTCTGAGCATGCCATGGATCACACAACAGCTTGACAGGTACAGGAAAGTGGATGTCAAATTAAAATTCTCCCTCAGTCTCCCCTCCCGACCCTCCAACTCTGTGACTTGTCAACAGAGCGCTGCCACTGGACCCAGCCAGCTGAGCTGGGTCTATGATGCCTGGGAAGTGTTTTAAAACAGCAGTACACCCACACCCACACTGCCCCTGCAGGCCTCACCTTGTGGCCAGTCCCCCATCCTATCCTGGCACTGTGGCCATCTGTCCCTCTTGTGCAGTTCATGCCAGTGCAGTCAGACAACTGTGCTGGGGTTCAAATCCCAGTTCTTCCCCTTACCAGGCAGCCTCAGTCTCCTCATCTAACACAGGCAGCCACATCCTATCATGGCTGTGAGGGTGGAGTGAGCAGCTTGTTGGCAGGGCCCTGCACAGCACCTGGCATGTGGGGCGGTATGCCTGGTGTCTGTAAGTGAGGCCTGGCACCCTGCTGGGGAAGGCACCCCCACACCCTGCCTGGGTATACACCTGCACAGAGTAATGTCCGTAAGGCTGGGGCTTGCTTCAGTCACCAGAGAAAGTGTCATAGAGGCCCCGGGTGCCCATGGATTGTGCCAGGTATGCCTCAATGCCACTTTTGAAGGAGTAGATGCCAGGTGCCAGACCACTCCCCTAGAACAGAACACAGGTGACAGTCCTCGCAGGAGAGCTGCTGAGGCAGGTCCATCACCCACTTGGGGTCTTAGTCTCCCCACCTGCTCTGGGAGTCTCTCCCCAAGACCCCACCAGTCGAGAGCCGTACCTGAGGAGCCAGGGGGGTGGCTTGTTGGTCATCCTGCACATGAGGCCCTTGGAGTGAGACTGGTTCCAGGCCTTCTCCTCCAGCTTTGTGTACGGGTTGCCCTTCTTGCCACCATTTCCAGGGCCTGGATAGTAGTTCTGCAGGGGAGGGAGGGACATAAAGGCCTTCAGCCCAGTCCCTGTGCTGAGTGCCTCTGAGGGGAGATGCCCTGGGGAGGGGAAGGGGATTTGGGAGACCCTTGTGTGTTAACTGCCCCCATTCCACAACACTGTCAGTTGGGGAGCCTCTACCACTCCAAGTTCAGGCTCTTCACCAGGGCCCTGGGACCTGTCCAACTCATCTTGCACTTCTCCCTTCTTACATCCCACACTTGCCCAAGTAGGCTCCTCACGGGTCCCCATACACACCCATTGTGCCAGCCTCCTGGCCTGTTGCTTGTGCTGCTACCACCACCAGAAATGCCCTTCCTGCCTCATTTGACTTGGGAAATTCTACTCATCCTGCAAAGCCAGCTTGAAGGTCATCCCTGCTGGGAATGAAGCCTTTCCTCCCCATCACCCCAGATGGTTGCTTCCTTTGGCCTGCTGGGAAACCCATCCATTACACCCATGTCATAGCCCTGCATTGACATGAATGGGTTTCTCGCTGCTGTGAACAATGCCATGACTTGGGAGGATCTGGAGTCCTGGGTTTGAATCCTGCCTCAGCTGCTTCCTAGCTGAAGGACTTTGAGCACACCACTTAGTCCTTCTGAACCTCATGGTCTGCCTTTGTACCTAGGAGGTAGTAATACTTTCTTCCAGGATAATGAGGATGAAATTAAATAATGTCTATAAAGCTTCTTACACAGTGCCCTGCCCATAGTGGGCACCGACACATAGTAAGTCAGGCGGCGGTTGCCTTGGGAGCTCAGGAGGAGGAGGTAGGAGAGACTGAGACTTGTGACTGGAAAAAGCATCTGGGGCCTTGACTGCCAGGGTCAGAAGTATGGTCTTTGCTGGTGGAGTGAGGTGGGTGGGCATCCTTGGCTAGAGACCTGGCAGGATGTTTGCTGCTGTGCATCTCTCAGCCACACAGTGTCGCTGCAGCTCCATGGATGGCTCAGTCCTGGGGAAGCAGCCCAGGACAGCTGAGAAGCAGGGAGCTCTGCTAGGGGAGTCTGGCCACTGTGGCATCAGATCTGTTTGCCCCCTGAAGGACAGGACTACATATTGTCCCCATCTGGGGCTAGGGGCTTCCAGATGTGTACAAGAGAAAAGCCCCAAAGTAGGAAGCTGGTTCTTTTGTGTGGCATGTCAAGTGCTTCACAAACTGTAACATCCTGGTCCTGAAGGCAACCTAATGAGAGCAAGTCAGCATTGTCTGCAGTTAGCAGATTGGGAAACTGAGTCTCAGAGAGGCAAATCTCAAGTCCAAGGTCCCATCTCCAGAAAGGGGCAGCATTAGGGTTCCAACTGCAAAATCCATGATCTTTCTGAGCCGCTACCATCTGCTGGGCACTTGGGATAGGAGGGCACTGAGCACAACTCCCAGGAGACCTTAGAAGTGACACAGCAGATCGCCACTGCGCCTGGAGAAGGTGGACTGGTGGCAGAAACCCAGTGCTGTGTTGTCATAGCCTCATCTCTTCCTTAAAACCTTCCAGTCCAGAGACGTAGAAGCAGCACACCTGTCAAGGTTTTAACTAGAATGTTATGTTCTCAGAACTTCTGAGGCCCCAGCACAGTGTACATTTGGGGTTGGGGTTGGGGGCAATGCAGGAATCGTCACTTAGGAGACTTTCTTTGGCTGGACCTTGAGGATGAGAAGGATCCCAGAAACAGGTGTAGGGGAGCAGGCAGGACCCTCAGGCCGAGGGGCAAAGGGAGGGAGACCAGAACACCTTTGAGGCCAGCTGGGAGAGATACCGGGAAGAGGGTGGGAAGGGCTCTGAAGGCCCCCCCGCAGCCTTGAGACCTGATTCTGAGGTGTGAGGGTCCTTAGGAAGGTGCTCTGACAGTGGTGGGAGACCAGGAGGTCAGTCAGGAGGCTGCCCCTAGGTGAGGGTGGGGTAGTTGGGGTGGTGGCAGTGGCCACGAAAGGAGGAAATGGGAGGACAGAAGGTGAGTGCATGGACCCCGGTGACTGTGGAGAGCAAGGGACAAGGAACAAGCCACTGGGTCTCTGGCTCTGGCAGCTGGATGGTGCCATTCCCCAGGAAGAGCAGGCCTGGGGGAGATGCTGACATGGGGTGGGGCATTCAGAGTTTGAGGTTCCTGGGGGGCCCTAGGGTGGGATCTGGAGCCATCTGCATGCAGTCTGGCTGGGGGAGAAAGATCACCCAAAGAGGGTAAGGGAGGGTCAAGATGAGGTCTGAGGAAAGGGAGCTGTGGAGGACAGCTGGCAGAGGAACGCCAGGGCTCTGGAGACCAGGGTCCCCAAAACCAAGAGAGAGGAGAGTACTCTGAGGCAGGTGGTGGGGGCAGCAGCAGGGCTAATGGGGGATGGGTTTTGAAACCAGAGGAGAAGGTATTGCCTTGGCAGGGGGTGTGGTTCACAACCACATCCTCTCTGGGGATGGATGCATGGGGCCCCAAAGCAGGTACCACAGCTTTGGCATTGGCACTGGGGGAGCCCCTGTGTGCCCTACACAGGTGTTTGCAGACCTGCAGTGCTGGGGGCATAACTGGAGGGACCAGAGACCAGGGAGGCCAGTCCAGATCTCATTGTAAGATGACAGCTGAGAGAAGTAAGCCTTGGATATGAGCCCCCCAAGGACTGTTTTCTGCACCCACTGGGGCAGTGCCAACTTCTGGAACTTTTTGTCCAGCCCTGTCCCCAGGAGAACAGCTCAGGGAAGTTCTGCAGGGCCTAGTGGACATTACTGCAGGAGTGGATTTGGGGACCAGGGTTGGGAAAGAAGAGACGGCCAGAAGGGAGGGACAGGCCATGACACCTTCACCCTGCTCAGCCAACACTCACAGATGCCCCAGAGCTGGAAGGAAACAGCATTCAATTTGTTCCTCCAACTCCTCTGTGTAACTGGGCTGGGCTCTGACATTAGACACTAACCTCCACTGATAGTCAAGATAGTCAAGGGAGCCAAGCCCACGGGTAAAGTGCAGTATTTATGAGCAGACACCTTGGATTCAAATCCTACTTCCGCGGCTAAATAGCTCTGTGACCTTGGCCGGTTACTCACCCTGTCTGTACCCCAGTTTTCTTATCTGTAAAGTGGAGATAATGATAGTGCTCACTTCACAGGATTGTTGTGAGGATTAAATTAATTAGTATACTCAAGTGCTTAGGACAGTGCCTGGCATGTGGTAAGTGCCATGTTAAGTATCAGTTATTACTTTAGATTGGAAGGTCACGACTTGTTCTTAAATACCTCCAGGCATCCTCTCTCCAGTCGCTGCAGTTACAGCTTCTGCACAGGATGATGCCTGTGCTTGTCCCCTGTACATAGCAAAGAGTAATTTCCAGGCTTCGTGGAAGGTTTCACAGTGGTGAGGTGTGGAGGAAAGGCCCTGGCTTTGGGGCTGGACATTCCCCACTTGCTGGCAGTGCAGCCTGGGGCAAGATGTTTACTTCCTCTGAGCCTCCAGGACCTCATCTGGAGTGGTGGTAAAAAATCAGAGCGTTATGGAACACCTGGTACTTAGTAGGCACACATGCATGTATTCAGTCCACAAATACTTAGTGCCTGTGTACTATATGCCAGGCACTGCTGAGACCTGGGGATTCTGCAGTGAACCAACCAGGCAGATGTAGCCCACCCTCAGTCGCTGATTCCTGTAGGAGAGACCCTAAACACACAGTCACAATTGGGACTCCTAGAAAAGAGATGCCACTGAGTGGGGGTCAGGTAGACTTCCAGAGGAAGTAACCTTGGGACTGAGGGATGAGTAGTAGTTCCTTAGGCCAAGGGGCCACTGAGGGAGAAAGGGCATTTCTGCAGAGGCAGAGGGACCAGTGGGGACAAAGCCCCTAGTGGAAGAGCACAGCACACTTGAGGAGGGAAGGATGCAGGAGTGTCCAGCACAGTGAGCACAAGGGCAGGAGGGGCATGCCACAAACCACAAGGTGTGCTGTGACCTCTGCCTTCTCCCTCAAGACTTTCCTGAGTTTGAAACCCATTCAGTACCCCGACATGGGACGACCATCCACTGATGCCAGGCAGCCCTCCTGCTATGCTACCTCTCACCACCATCACTTCCCTGTGGACACTGTAGCAGCCTCCAACCCTTCCCCCAACCCCAAGCAGGGTGTAGGGCCTGAGGAGGTGAAGATATAAATCAGGTCCTTCACCTATCAGAACCCTCCACTGTCCCCCCACAGCACTTGGAATCAATCCCGAAGCCCCTGCCTGGCTGCAAGATCCTGGTGGTCTGATCCCCACTTCTCTGCTGTCCCTCTTCCTGCCACCCTAGGCCTCTCCCTCCAGCCTCACTGGCGTCCTGCCTGCTGGTCTAAGTCAGGGCCTTACCTTTGCTGTTCCCACTGCTTGGAATGCTTTCCTGCAGATCCCTTGAGTCTCTGTTGTTCATTTCCTGCAGATTTTGCTCACATGTCACTTCCTCCAGGAAGACTTCCCTGACCGTACTATAAACTGCACCTCCGTCACTCACTGAACCTTCCCTATCTCATTTTTCCTCCTAGCCCTGATTATGTATGATTTGCTTCTTTGTACTGTTGTTCTATCGCTAGGATGCCTGCTCCATGAGGGCAGGGACCTTGTCTTTATCACTCCTGGAGTCCCGGGGCCCTAGAACAGTGCATGGCTCTCGGTAGGTGCTCAATCATTATTTGCTAACTGGTTGGATGGATATACAGATGGGTGAGTTTGTTGCGCACCTAATATATGCCAGGCTCTGGCTGGGGATTCAGAGAAGAGCCCCATTCCTGCTAGCAGGGAGCTGTCAGTCTGGTGGTAGGGACAGATGCAGGAATATATGACAGCCTGTGGGCTTGAAGCCATGGCACTGGACAGCAGAGGGGTTGTGGGGACCAGAGGAGAGCCTGGCCAGGCCTGGCAAGGAGACTGTATGAGGAGGGGAGTGGTGCTTCCAGCACCCCTCACGGTGCAAGCTGTGCAGAGAGCAGAGGAAGAGGGTGGGAGGGCTCCCACTCTGCCTAAGAAAACACCTACCCCCATGAGTCCTCAGAAGCGAATCTCCCCGGAGCTGAGCAGCCCCCGGGTGCTGCATGGTTTCTGTTGCAGAAGTTCTAAGAAGTCTTTGAATTCGTAGGAGCCAGGCCCTAGCTTTTCCTTCTGCACCAAGAGAAGAGAGCAGAAAGTAACAACTTTGAACTTGGGAATGTCCACATGGGAAGGAGCCTGGAGGGTGAATATGTTCCTTAAAGGAGGAGCTCTACCTGGGCCTGGGCGGACACTGAAGGCAGTGCTTTGGGGTAGGGAGGAGCGTGGCCCCAGGGGCCTCACCTGCAGCTGCCTCTCTCTCATGATGGCCTGGTACTGGACATGGGGCAGCTGGGTGAGCCTGGTGGCTTCCTGGGCCCTGGCCCAGCCTGTACCCACTTCCTTCTTCAGCTTCTTCTTGATGAAACAGGTCTCCTTACAGCCATAGGTCCCAGGTCCTACGTGAGACTGAGTCACAGCACAGTCAGAGCCGGGCCAGCCACACCCATCCAGTCCATCCACAGAGCAAGTCCTTCCCAAGCAACCACCCTGACCTGGGGGTGGAGGGGCAATGCTTCTCTGTGGTCCCTGCACCCAGCTTCCAGCCCGGCCTTGAGGGTCATGGGGCTCAAGGTGCAATCACATCCTCCGCCATTGGCCCCTTAGACTTCAGGGAGGGCTAGTAACTCATTCAAGGGCCCACAGCCAGTGGGTGCAAGAGCTGGAGATGGAACCCAAGTCTCTGTGGTCCCAGCCCAGGTGTTTTTCACTACAGTCCTGCACTTACCAAACATGGCTAAGGCCCTGGTTCTGAGCCAAGCTCTATGTTGCAGATGAATGGAGGGCTTGAGAGGTATAAGCTGTGCCCCTTAAACAGCTCAGCTCATCAGCCATAGTGGGGAACTTGGGGGGCCACGGGAGTGTCAGGGCAGCTGCACAAACTCACCATTTCCACGGAATGAAGCCCGGATTATGGGGCCTCTGTGAAGGTGCTGAATTTCTTCTGACTGGGATAAACAGCGGAGACATCAAATCTAGGGAGGTTCAAAGGCCAAGTGAGAGCCCAGTTCCTGCCACCCAGCCTCGGTGTGGGCTGTTCTGGAGGTGGGGGAGCTGGCCTACCAGGGGAGGGGACCTTGGAGCTGGCCCATGAAGGATGGGCAGGGCTGCTCCCACCTGACTCTCTTCGTCCTTGCAGTTCCCTATTCCTAGACACCACCCCTGCCCCTTGCGCTCTGATGGGTGCCTTTACTCAGAAGTCCCTTCTCAGTGCACCCCCACCCACCCTCCAGCACTTGCCAGCCCCTCCTCCCAGCTTCCTTTTTTTTCTCCATGGCTCTTATTACTATCCAACATTTTTTATATTTTTCTTTTTTGTTTATTATCCATTCCAGCCACCTCTGCCCACATTAGCACAAACTCCTGAGTACAGGGTTTTGTTGTTTTGTTCACTATTGTATCCTTGATGCTGGAACTGTGCCTGGCACAAAGTAGGTGACTAGACAGAGATATAGGTGTATAGACATATCATATGTATGTGTGAAGAAAGACACCTGGGCTGAAATCCTACCCATGACTTTTGAACTGAGTGACCCATTATGGCACAAGTCACTTGGTCTCACTGAGCCTGGCACATAGTATAGTTTCTCTTGAAATGGTTTTAAGTAACATAAGGGGGTTAAAAGAACTCTGAGCAGGGCCCTGCAGCAACTGCGAAGGGGAGAGAAAGTGCGGCCCCCACCCCTCGTTGCTAGTTCTCTCCTACCGCTCCAGCTCCACCCCGCATCGGGCCCCCTCTCCTGCCAGGCCCCTCCTGGCCCACCTGTGGCTCTGCATGCGAAAGGGCACGCCGCGCCACGGAACCACTTGGTGGCCATGGCTCCGGCTGCCTCGGCCTGAGGTCCTGGCCAAACTCCTGCCTTGCGGGGGGGGGGGGGGGGCGCTGCTGCCACGGCAACCGGGCCTTGTGATTCCTGATTCGCAAAGAAGTGTGCGCCCGCCATGTGGCGCCCTGCATGAGCCCGTGCCTTCCCGGACTTCATTCTGCTCTGCACTTTGTCACCAGACAGGCTTCCCTGAGCCCTGCAGATTTAATGGCCCCTCATGGTGGTTAATAAGGATGCCGTTTGGTCGGGTTTCGGAGTCATTTGTTAAGGAACCGTTTCTGATTTCTTGCTTTACCCCAGACAGGCAAGGGCCCGGTAGAGCAAGGAGGCTCGGGAAATGCGGCTTCATGTTTGCCTCCTGCTCAGGCGGACAGAGGCCCACAGAGAGGACTGGGCCTGGACAAAGTGAGCATCCCCTTCCCTCTCCACTTTGGGAAGGAGGGGAAGGGCAAGAAAGAGTGGACCAGCCAGGAGAGCCAGAGTGTGGAGGGCAGGAGTAAGGCTGCAGGGCGCGGGGTGAGGGTGAGGAGGGTGCCTGCAGGGACTGAGGCAGCACTCATCTGTCCCCCAGATACTCCCAGCACCCACTCTAGATGGATGCTGTGCAGGGTACCTAGGACCCAGATGTACTCCCAGCTCTGAGACTCCAGTGGGGGAAACAATGACCACACAGTGTGGCCAGTCCTATAAGGGAAGGAGGCCTCTGGTCCAGCCTCTGAGTGGGTAGGTAAGGGAAGGCTTCCTGGAGGAGGACAATTTCAAATTTATCCTCACTATGTATGATTTTCTGGGTAAAGAAAGGAGTTGAGGTTCTGTGCCCCCAACAGGGCCTGGTCAGCTCTCTTCCCCACTCCTTCCATATCCTCCACCACTGCTCTGTGGTCATGCTATGAGATTGTGTAGTTTCTTCTCTCATGATGGCCTTTGCTCCTCCCAAGGGCCTTAGGCCACGGCATGGCAGAGTGCCATAGCCCACTTGAAGATGACAGGACTGAAGCCAGAGAAACAGGACTTGCCCAGGGCCCTGCATCCTGCCGAGGTGGACCTGGACTTTCAGGACAGTGGGTCTCCTTTCAGGCCCTACCCAGTACCCTTTTTCCATCCCAGGATAGTATTTAAGTAAGAAGTTCAGACTCCATCACAGCTGTGAACTGGTCTCACAGGTCCCAGGCTGGGCAGGCACATGGCCATGACTGGCAGAGTGTCCACCCTGGACCACTGAACTCATGGTCAGAGGTTTCAGGCTCCAGGAACACACACAGAACAGACACCGCAGGTCACCAAGCACAGGCTCTGCCCCTCTCCAACTGTGCAACCGTGGACAATTCACTTCCTTTCCTGATTCTCAACTTTCTTCCCTATAAAATGAAGCTAATAATCTCTGTCTCTCCAGATTGCTGTGAGGATTAAATGAACTGATTTAGATATGCTCCTGGCACATAGCAGAATCTTAATAAGGGGTCATTTCCAGCCCTTGGAAAGGTCCAGGGACAGAGACTGTGTCTCATTTACTCCTGGTGTAGGACCTGGCACATAGTAAATATTGCTCAGTAAATATTTGTTGAATGATGAATGAACAAATAAAGGAATGAATCTGGTCCAACTTTCCAGTAATGCATAAATCCTCAGAGAGACTCATGTTTGAATCCTGGTCCTGCTGCTTCCTAGCTTGGTGCCCTTGGGCAAGTTTCCCTGGCCAGGCTTCAGTTTCCTTGTCTGTGACATGGACATATGACTGCCACCTTCTGGAGGAGCTGTTTTGAGGTGTCATTGAGGTGTGGCTGTGTACACTACCAAGCCCCGGGCACTGGGGAGGCCCTGTGACCAGCCCTGGGTCTGTTCACTTGTTCTCAGGGTGGCCCACACCCTGCCTGGGTCTGCTTTGCTGCTTTTCTCCCAGCGAGAGCCCCTTGGCTCCAGGACTCATGGTGGAGTGGCCACGGAATATAGTCCAAGGCCCATAGGGCTGGGAATCCTCGCTGCCAGACAGGCCAGAACAAGCCAGGGTGAGTCAGTCTGCAGCAAGGAGCCCAAAGCCTCCCCATCACAGCAGACTGCACTGATCATGCAGCTAACGCGCTCTCTCTTGTAGGTACTGTTGCAACCTTCTCCCACTCCCCATTTTACAGAAGAAGAAACTAAGGCTCAGATAAGGAGATACTTGCCCTGGTCACATCTAATGCAGTGTAGAGTCACACAGTGGATGTGGGACTACTGATAAGGATTGGGAGCTCCCTGGCTATGGGAGTTTCTAAGCCATCCAGACTTTGAAGCCATCTGTTATGTCAATGGAGACAAGTCAAGATTCTCAGTCAGGATTCAGGCCTCTGAGATGGGATGGTGGCCACTGCCTACAGTCCTCATCCCCTACTATCTTTTCCCCATGCTTTGTAAGTCTCAGCCTTATGGTCTGCTCTGTCCCTGGGCACACCCCGCACTGCAAACCTCTGGCCTTTCATATGCCTTTCCTGTGGCTGGAATGCACCCACAGTCTACCTTTCCCATCCAACTCCTATTCATCTTCTCAGAGTCAGAGCAAAAGCCAAACCCACCCATTACGGTGCCCACTAAAAAATAAAAAATAAAACAAAGCAAAAAAACCAGAAAATAAAAAGTGTTGGTGAATATGTAGGGATTGGAATCTGTGTATTGTTGGGAGGAATATAAAATGGTGCAGCTCCTATGGAAAATTTTTTCAAAAAATTAAATAGAGAATTACCATAAGCCCCAGCAATTCCACTTCTGACTATATACACAAAAGAAGGGAAAGCAGGGACTCAGACAGGTATTGTTCCTAATTGCCAAAAGGTGGAAACAACCCAAATGCCCATTCATGAGTGAAGGAACAAATGAATTGTGGTATATATATATGGTGAAATATTATACAGCCTTAAAAAGGAAGGAAATTATGATATGTACAACATGTGTAACCCTTGAGGACAATGCTAAGAAAAATAAGGCAGACATGAAAGGACAAATATTACATTATTCCACTCATATGAGGAAACTAAAGTAGTCAAGTCCACAGAGACAAAAAGTAGAAAGGTACTTAGAAGGTGGAAAGTTGCTGAGGGGGAGAAGGGCATGGGGAGTTACTGTTTCATGGGTACAGAGTTTCAGTGTGAGAAGATGAAAATATTCTGGATATGGATGGTTGTGATGGTTGCATAACAATGTGAATGTACTTAATTTGTATTACAGTCACTTAAAAATGGTTAAAATGGTAAATTTTACACTATGTATTTATTACCACAATAAAAAGGGGGAAAAAAGCCAAACACTCTGGGAATCTATACCTGATCCACCCAAGCAGGTTGGAGCACAAGTTTCAACTCATCATCACCAGCACTTTATAGTAATAATTTTTTTAATTATTAAATTTTATATTGTAAAATGACAGGAGAAAAATAGCATAGACTAGTTTTAATTTACTTTTTTATTGCTGGAGTCAAATTTTCTTTTTTTTCCAAGTTTACTAATTGGCTCTATTTCCTCTTTCAAAAATGCTGGTCTACTTTTCAAGATCTGCTGTCAGGAGCACAGCCAAATGGAATGAGGGGCAGAAGGGACTTTGAAGTTCAGACTATGTACAAAGCCCAAGCACTGGAGGTCTCCCAGCCTTGCAGCAGGGAGTACAGCCCAGCCCTCTAGAAGGTTTACCCAGAGCCTGGCAAGCCTGGTAGAGCGAGGCTGGGGGAAGACTGGCAAGAATGTGAAAACTGGACCACAGGAAGACTGCAGAAGGGACGGGAACTACAGTGGAGGAGTGGGAGCTGACAGTTATCCCAAGTGACACTTACTAGGTTTACCCATGATATCTACCCTGTCACCTTCCTATCATAGATGAGAAAAGTATGAAGTGTGTGAAGTTATGAAGTGATTTGCTCAAGGTCACACACTACTGGGGATGCAGAACCTGGATTAGAACCAGCACAGGGAACTCCATAGTCTTTCCACATGGCCAGCTCCAAGACAGAGAAATCCTAAGTGGGGAACCTTTATCAATAATGGGCAAAGGAAGAGCAGAGGGAAGTAGCAGGCTCTCAGCAGAGGAAGAACACTGAGGAACTGTGGAGAGGATAGGACAGCAGCAGGAGCCCGGTTGCCTCTGCATACAGCTGGAGGGGCCAGTCCTGACTCTCCTACTCAGTGAGCTCACTCAGAGGGTGGAGCAGAGCCCACCGGAAGGGCCTGGCTGGGGTTCAGCAGCGGGGTTCTAGACCTGGTTGCCACAGCCTTGCTCTGTGACCTGGGCAAGTCATTTTCCTCCTGAGCCCCAGTTTTCTCATCCGCTGACCAGAGAGAGTAAAAACACGCCCTTTGCCATGTACTGGGGTTTGTGCGCTCTGTGTTTGGCAATGCACCTGTTTTTCTGGCACACCTGGTTGTTGCCAACGTCTAAGAGCTCGAGCAGCGAAAGCGGAAACACCCACAGGGCGCTCCCTGGGCCGGCGCTCCGACACACCCACGGGGGGGAAGGAGGGGAATACACCCTGAGACCATAAGGCGGCTGCATCTCGGTCCTAAGCGCGCTGACGCTCTACTCCCGCGCGGGACCCACTCAGGGGCGCCCCCTTCACTGCCCTCTGTGGCCTCCAGGGCAGGGGCGAGGCCCGGGGAGCAGCGGGGCAGCCATGGCAGAGTCGGAGGCCGCGGCCGAGGACTTAGACGTCCTCATCGACGACTTGGACTATCTCCCGGGCCACTTCCACCTGGAGCTGCAGCTGAACTTTGAGCCGCGCTCCCCGGCCTTGCTCCGCGCCAGGGACCTGAAGCTGCAGCGGGACGGCCTGCGGCACGAGCTGGAGCTGGCGGCCGCCCCGCAGCGCCCCGCGGTGCGCCATCTCCTGGGCACCTTCGCCTTCTACCTGGAAGAGTTGGACGAGGCCCGCGAGCACTTCCTTGCGGTGGCTCGTGAGGACCCGAGCAACCTCAACGCTTGGGCCAATCTGGTGCATGTGTACGGGCGGCTGGGACAGGAGGGAGAGGAGGAGGCGTGCGCCGGGCGGCTGGCCCGCCTCATGGGCTTGGCGGAGGACGGCGAGGAGGCAGCTGGGGACCCTCAGCTCCACGCCGCGCGCTGCCTGGCGGAGCAGGGCTATGCGCACGGCTTCGACGTGGGCTGCGCCAGCCCGGAGGAGCGCGAGCGGGTACTGGCGGCCGGCATCGCGCTCTACGACAAAGCTCTGGGCTACGGGCAGCAGGTAGGTGAACCTTCCCTAGGCTGGGAGGGCCGGGTTCGTGCCCCCTAAAGTCTGCAGAGATGCTTGCGCACCCCAGAATCTCCCCAAACTCTAGCCCTTTGGCTTCCAGAATACAGCTCCTGTTTGACTCTCCTCTCCAGCATCCCACCCCAGACCAGGCCTGTGGCTTTTCTCTGCTGGGCTACAGAGTGCACCCGTTACCTAGCCGGCAGCCTGCCTCTCTTCTCTTCTGGCAACACCGCAATATCAATCTGGTGAATGCATCCCTCTCATCTTTATCCTCCTCCTTGCAAGTACCTGTCCATGTGCCTGTGCATCCCCACCTAAGTAAGACACAGCTTGACATTCCAACAGAAACGGGCAACATTCTTACTACCTCTCTCCCCCTCAGCATCCCCATCCACTCAGACCCCAAATCCTGTGCATTCCACCTTCCCATGTATCTGAGGTCTATCCACTCCCCCATCCAGCCCAGCCTCCATCACTTCCTGCCTGTACCAGTGTAGCTGCCATGGGTTCCTGCCCTCGGCCTTAGCCTTCTACCTCCTCCTCCACCCTGCTGCCAGTGTCATGTTGCTCAGTCTTGCTAGCCATGGCACTCAGCTGCTTATGACAACCGCTGCCCCCCAACTCCCCAATGCCTGGCAGATAAGTCCAAGGGTCTCCAGTGGGCATTTGAGGCCCTCTGTGATCTTCCTATTTGCCCTCCTTCTGCCATGTTCCCCCTTCCAACCAGGCTTTTGCCACAGGTTACTTCCCCTTGTCCTTCCATGGGCCAGGTCTCCTTAAACCCACCTGGCCAGTCTTTTGGCCTCTTTCTGAGGTGCTCTTCCTTTCCATCTTTGTCTGGACAATGCTCCTCAGTCTCGGTTTGTCTCAGGCACTCCTTCTTCCAGGAAGCCTCCACTGACTTCTCCAGGCTGCAGTAGGCGCCTCCCCTGAGCTCCCTTAGCACTGGTCACGCTGTCCATTTATAGTCTGTTTCCCTAACTCAACCTTGTGATCTTTGAGAGCAAGGACAACATCTGTCTGGTTTACCACTGTAAATCCTGTTTCTGGCACAGGGCTTGGCACACAGTGGCACTCAATAAAATGTATCTTGAATAAATGTATGTACAGCATAGGGCCTGGCACTAAATAGACAAATACTAGGCATATTAGTTACCTATTGCTGCAAATAAATACCCTTCAAAACTTAGCAGCTTAAAGCAATAAGCATTTGTTATCTCACAGGTTTTTTGGGTCAGGAATCTAGGCATGGCTTAGCTGAGTGCCTCTGGGCTGTGGTCTCATCTGCAGGCTTGCTCAGCAGGGGGAGAATCTGGTCACTCACAGGGCTTTTAACAATATTCAGTTCCTCACTGGCTGTCGGCCAGTTACCTCACTCAGGTCCTTGCCACGTGACCATCCCATCACTTTTGCTACATTCTATTCATTAGAAGTGATCACTAGGTCTAGCCCACACCCAAAGGGAGGGGATTACATAAGGGCACCATACCAGGAGAAGGGGATTGCTGGGGGACCATCTTCAAGATTACCTGCTTTGGATGACGCACAGTGATGTGGAAGGCATAATCCTCCTGTTACAGAAGAGGAAGCCACAGAAGAGGAGAAGTACTATGAGTTTTCTGTGATGGCACAGCACAGGCAGGGTCTAGCTAGTAATGAAGACTTTTGATAATGGTTTAGATGTGTAAACAATAATAATAAGGCTTCACACCCAGGGCTCTATTCACAAAGCCTCTGCACACACACCCAGAGCCTTTTCCACCAAAGCTTATGGCTTCAGACAAGAAATGTGTGTAGCATAAAGACCCCAGAGAATGCAGGTAGAGGGCACAGACTTGAGTTAAGGAGAGCAGTTCAGGGGAAAGGTTAAGACCGCAAACTGGGCCAGATAGTCCAGGTACAATTCCCAACTCCCTCCTATTCTCTCACCTCCACTAGGTCCTTAGCATCACTAAGCATCACTTAGCATTGTCCTCTGTAAAATGGGGATAATAGTGTTACTTACGTCCTAGGCCTCCTCAACTATAACACGAGACAAGAACTGACATTTAGAGAGCACCTAGAATACAGCCTGCACAGACAGCAGGATCATGGATTCTGCCTTCACTGGGCTGGGTGAGCCCCCTCCCCACCCCAGGTGGGGTATAGCTGTGGCCATTGCATGGGGCTAACAGGACCCCAGGTCTCCTATGTTAAGACTTGAGTCCCAGGGCCCTGAATGCCAGCTGCTCTCAGTGGAAGGCATGTTTTGTGTGTTATGTATCAAGTACAGTTGTGGCAACAGAACATGGCCCAAGGAGCTCTGGACTAGGAGCAAGGAGGCTGCTGTGGGGCCTTCTCCTGTCTGGGCTGGGGTTCCCCATCTGTGAAAGGGAGGCAGGGAGGGAGTAGTGGCTGGTCCCCAAAGTCCCTTCCTGGAAGGAAGGGGTTCACTGAGGGAAGGCTTCCTGGGGGAGGTGAACAGGGAAGCAGAGGTTTGGAACAGAGGCCCACTCCTCCCTCATTGATGCTTTCAGCCCAGCCACGCTGGGGGCTGCCCTTCTTGTGAGTGACTGCCCCAAGGAGAGCCCAGCCCTGCTGGCAGGGAGCTGATTGCCTCGGACGGGAGGAGACTGCTGGGCTCTGTGCTGTGTCCTGGGCCTAGCCCGCTGCTGCTCCCCAGGTCTGGACAGAGCAGCTATTTCTCCTACAAATCCCAGGAGGAAGTTGGGGATTTGGAGCCCCCCATTTCATCATCTGAAGATTAGGAGAGCTTGTACTTGATGAGGAGTAGGCACTCAAGAAATAACTGCCGTCAGAATAACGACGATGGTTTCTTGACAGAGCCATGAGGCTTGGGTTTGAGCACTCAGTTCTCATACTCTTGCTGTGTGGCTTCAGACAGGTCACTTTTCCTCTCTGGCCTCAGGGTCTGCTTCATGATCGTTACACAATAGTGAGCTCTGCCTCAGGTTTACTGTGATCATCCAATGGAATCACCGGGTAAAAGTGCCCCCAGTTGGCTCATTCTGGGCATGTCTGATGGATATATGCCCAGCTCCTTGACATTTATTGAACACCTACTGTGTTCAAGCCTTGTCTTTAAGAACAAAGGGGAGGAGCCAACATACCTTCAATAACTAGTCTTGTTTGAGCCCCTCTTCTGGGAATGGGAGCCAAAGGGACAAGTCAGAGATGCACCTACAACTGGCTGAGGTTACTGGCATTCACTATATAGCCAGTGCCTTGTGACAATTATTTGGGTGCTGTACACCAGTGACCATACTTCCTGAAGCAAAAACAGAACCCCAGAGTCTAACAATGGAAGTGTACTTTGGGGACCTCGGGACCATATGTTGGAGTCAGCAGTGACCTGGCAATTCCAGGTCCTGGGAATAGGGTGGCAATGACCGAGCTTCAGAGGAGGAGCGCTTCCTTTCAGCACAAGTGACTGAGGGAGGGTTCTGGGAGAGGAGGGAGTGGACTGGCAGGAATGAGGTGTGAGCACTCCCAGGAGGGTGTGATGTGCACAAAGGTCCCGGGGTGGTCCCTGCAGAGCACGAGGGCTCTAGTGACAGCTGAGCTGGACCAGGGGACAAGGCTTGGAAGAGGGCAGCCAGTAGCTTCATGCAGAGGGCACACGATGACCCTGAAAAAACCCTGACATGACCTCAGATATATGGCTCCCACCCTCCCGCCCTCTTCCTTAATGGCATTTCCTCTTAACTTCCCTCGAAACTTACTTCCCATCAGTGCTAAATTACTTATACTTCTCCAAACATGCTGTGCTGTTTCATATCTCCCTGTGCAGATACTTTTCTCTCTGCCTGGAAAGCAGACTCCATCCATCAGAACCCAGATTGAATGCCACCTCCCCCTTGAAGCCTTCCCTCATACAACATGCAACTTCACACCCTGATGCTCACAAATGTCTTCCAAACTTTGTCTGAGACAGTCCTCACAAGAACCCTCTGATCTCACTTTGCAGATATGGGAACTAGGACATAGCCAAGTTAGTTAACTTGCCCAAGTTCACGGAGCTAGTAAGTGGCAGCTGAATCCACTCTACTCTATCTGATCTCAGTGCCTTTGCTCCTTCTGGAGAGGTTAGAGAAATGGAGGTGGGAGAGCTGGAGTACAGATGGCTGGCAGCTGGGGAGGGAAGACCCCTCCCGGGCTGCCTCCTGGAGATGTAGGGCAGAGGAAGTGTCAAGAGAGAGCAGGTGGGTTGCCATGTATCCAGGGCATTTGGAAGGATGAGGACAGAGGTGAAGTCAGAATCAGAGCCAGGGAAGGAGAAGGTAGGACAGTGGAGCAACAGTTGTAGGACACCCAGTTAAGAGGGTCGCCATCTGCAAGAGCACAGCCGGGGTGGGCAGCTGGTGGTCTGACCCACCTGTGCTTTTGGTCCAAGAAATTTTCCATCCTGATGGGGCTGCGACTGTCCCAGGCATGGAGGAGCCCCTGTAGCTCAAAGGATAAAGAGCAGCTGAAGAACCAGTGAACAACTGCTCATCTGTTAACTAAAATACAAGCAAAAACATTATAAAAGCTAATAATTCAGCCCATAATCTAAAAATAAGCAGTGCATGTGTCTGTGAGTGGGTGTTTGTGACTCCCTTTCTCAGCTCTTCATTCTCTCCCATTTTTCTTTAACTTACAAAAATGTGAAGCGGCAGATTGCGTTTATCTGTCATTCCTCTTTCCTCACTACCCACCCCCACTCTGCCCCACCCACCAAACACACACACACACAGTCACAGAAAGATTCTTGGTAGCAAATCTCAAAGTTGAGTGGGTATTATGAGCATATGTTTTGAAGTTAGACAAATGGGGCTGAAATTCTGCCCTTCCCTGGGGGGGTTACAGGTAAGTCACTTCACTTCTCTGAGACTCAGTTTCCTCATCTGCAAAATGGGATTCTAACATCTGTCTCACAGGGTTGCTGTGAGGATTAAGTGAAGGAACATGAAAGGCTCCAGGCAGTGACCAGTTCAGGGGACCCAGCCCTT